CCTAGTCGAAAGCGTACCGGCTGCCGGTACGAGGATGCGTTTTTTACACAGTTTCCCCCGCAGTTTTTTTTCACCAGTGGCACGTTCTTCCTGGCAGATGCTTCTAGCTAAAAGAATTGTGACTGGCCACCACGACTGTTAGAAATCATTACAATGACTCCCAATCCATGCCCAAAAAATTCGGCGCCATGGATACTTCGGTTGGGAAGTTACGTCAAATTTCACGTGTTCGTATGTGAGTGGAAACGTGAGTGCTTTCTTCACCGGCGATTACTCAAACACGGCCCTGAGTAGCGCTCAAAAAGTTTCAACGCTCTAGCTACCCTGGTTGCAGAGTTACGTCAAATATCACGTGTTTGCACGTGAGTGGCAACGTGAATGCTTTCTTCATCCGCGGTTGGTCGAACACGGCCCTGAGTAACGCTCAGAAAGTTTCAGCACTCCAACTGCTCTGGTTGCAGAGTTACGTCAAATTCCACGTGTTCGTAAGTGAATGGTAAAGTGAATGCTTTCTTTGCTTGCGGTTACTCAAACGCGGCCCTGGGTAACGCTCAGAAAGTTTCAGCACTCCAACTGCTCTGGTTGCAGAGTTACGTCAAATTTCATGTGTTATGCAAAGTGAATGCTTTCTTCACTTGCGGTTACTCAAACACGGCCCTGCATAACGCTCAGAAAGTTTCGGCACTCCAGCTTGTTTGGTTGCAGAGTTACGTCAAATTTCACGTGCTCTTACGTGAGTGGCAAAGTGAATGCTTCCTTCGCCTGCAGTTGGTCAAACACGGTCCTGGGTAGCGCTCAAAAAGTTTCAGCACTCCAGCTGCTCTGGTTGCGGAGTTACGTCAAATTTCACGTGTGTACGCGTGTTCGTACGTGAGATGCGGAAGGGCTGACAAGCAATTTACTTTCACGGACACAACAGTGGGTATCAAGTAACACTACAAAATTGCAGCTCTCTGCAGTTTATTGTTCGCCTTAAATTTGGAGTTGGCATGATGCCAGTTTAAACTTTGACGTGTGCGTACGTGACTCGTGGGGGTACGTAAAGGCTGAATTTGAAATCTTTGGATTAGACGCGGCTAAGGAACAACTCTGTGAAGTTCCAGCCT